CCACACCCGCCTCGGCTACCTCTTCTACAAGCGCCAGGTGCGCAAGGCGCGGGAGCGCTACCCCCACGGCCACTCTGTGCCCCAGCCCATGGCCTTCCCAGGTGAGTCCCACCCCCAGCCCCTCGCCACGTGCCAGGGGAGTCCTGAGCCCCCCCTGCTCCCTAGGGGATAAACCCCTCTTACTGCTCCTGAGGGGCGGCAGCTGGTACCTGGACCCTGGATTCAGCCCAGGGGCCTGGGGGGGGCTTGGGGGTCTGGGCGCAGCCCCAGGTTGGCCCGCGATGCCCTTCTGGGGGTGCAGGGCAGGGGAAGAGGGGGCATCTCAGGACTGCTGGGTCCCTGCCAGGCGTGAAGATCCTGCCGGTGCCGGTGCTGGCCACCAACTACAGCTACCTGGTCATCGACACGGTGTCTCGGCGCGCGGCCGTCGTGGACCCCGCTGACCCTCGCGCCGTGCAGGTGCGACCTCCCCAGGCCCAGGGCAGGGGCAGATCGGGGGGGTGGGGGTCCCCATCCCCCTGCTGCAGGTTTCATTCATGGGGGGGAGCTCTAGGCTGTTGGCCCTTCTCCGTCTGCCCCCCGGGCCCTTTGGGAGCCTGGGGTGATATGACAGTGCCCAGATACTGGGGAGGTGGGAGTCCTCGGGGGGAATGGGCTGCGGCGGGGCAGGTATTTGCCCATGGGGGGCAGGTAGATCTACCTAGGGCCTCCCCCAAGGGTCTTTGGTAAGGGTGGCAGGGGCTGTGGGTCAGGAGTGCGGGGCACCAGCAGGGCTGTGGTGGGGGGGAGGGTGGAGAGGGAGTATCAATCAGGGCTAGGCCCCAGCCCCTGGAGGGTCCTCAGTGGTTGGCACCCAACCCCCTGCTGCCCCAGCAAAGGAGACTCCCCTTTGGCTTCAGCACTATAGGGCCTAGGACACACAGAGCCACTACTCCAATCCCCCCCTTGCCTCCCCATTTCATGGGTGCAGGGGTCCCTGGGGCCCCTTTGTGCCCAGCCCTGGGGAGAGGGGGGTCTGGCTTGGGGGGAAGGGACACGGGCCGGGTGCTGCCACCTCCCCCTGGGGCAAGGATTGCCCTGGCTCCCCTGGCACTGCCCCTTCCCCTCCCGCAGGCCGCCATCGAGCAGGAGGCAGTGACCCTGGACGCCATCCTGTGCACCCACAAGCACTGGTGAGGGGCAGGGGCTACGGGTCAGGAGCGAGGGGCACCTGGGGGGCAGGGGGCTGTGGTTTGAGAGTGAGGGGCACCAACTGGGGGGGGGGCGCAAAAGCCACTGCCTCAGGGCTCAGCTGATTACCTGCCCGGGTACATGGCAGATAAGGGCTGAGGGGCGGCCAGAGCAACCTGCACAGGCAGTCCTGACACAGTGGGGGTGGGGGCTGATACAGCCCCCATCCTGCCCAGCCCCTGCGTGGCTGGGTGCCCATTCTGGGGGTACCATACAGGCCGGGGGCACAGGTTGGCTGGGCAGAGCCAGCCTCGCCCCCACAGCCCCAAGGCAATGGAGGTGGGGGTGGGGGGCAGAACAGGACAGAAAGATCCCCTGAGAAATGGGGGCTGTGCCCTGAGCCGGGAGGTGATGTTGCAGGCTGGGGACGGGGGGGCAGGCACTGACCGTCGGGTCCGTCACCCACAGGGACCACAGCGGGGGCAACGCGGAGCTGTGCCGGCGCCACGGCTCCTGCCGCGTCTATGGTAGCGCCGCCGATGCTGTGCCCCAGCTCACCCAGTGAGTGGGGGCAGGGGTGCAGGGGCTGGGTCTCAACCCCCCCAACCTCAGTCTGAGAAGCTGTCAGCCTCCTTGTGTGTGTGGCCACAGGCTGGGGGGCGGTTCAGGAGTGGGTTTACCCCCCTCACCCTTCCCCCCATTGTGCCCACCCAGCCCGGTGCTGGATGGGGCACGCATCGGTGTGGGCGAGCTGCGCTTCACAGCCCGGCACACGCCTGGGCACACAGTGGGACACATGATCTACGTGCTGGATGGTACCCCCCCTGCCGCTCCCCCCTGCCTCTTCTCCGGAGACCTGCTCTTCCTCTCCGGCTGTGGTGAGTCGGGGCCCTTGGACCCCCGGGAGCCTGTGGGCACCTGGAGCAGGGTGGGGGGGCACCCAGTATGCAGGGGACCCTGAAGACTGACCCCCGTGGCAGGGCGCATCTTTGAGGGCACCCCGGAGACTATGCTGGCATCGCTGGACACGGCCGCTGCGCTGGGCGAGGACACACTGCTGTGGCCTGGTGAGTCTGGGGGGCGTGGGCAGAGCACCAGGCCGTCTGGGCTCCTGGGGGCCGGAGCTAGAGCCCAGGTGTCCGGACCACCCTGACACCCGTGTCCGGCCAGGCCACGAGTATGCGCTGGAGTGCCTGGGCTTCGCCAGCCTGCTGGACGCCGACAACCCGCAGCTGGAGCAGAAGCTGCGCTGGGCTGGGCAGCAGCGCCTGGAGCGCCGCAGCACGGTGAGGGGGGCCGGGGGGCCAGAGGCTGCCAGGTTCCACCCCAGAGGCAGCCCCTGACCCTTGCCCCCCCTTGCCCCCACAGTGCCCGTCCACACTGGGCGAGGAGTGTGCCTACAACCCCTTCCTGCGCACGCAGAGCCCCGAGGTGCAGGCAGCGCTGGGGCTGCGGCGCCGCGGGAGCGAGGACGGCGCCGCCTTCCGTGCCC